CACCCACACACACACCCAATTTTCTATACAAGATTGAATATAATAATTACCGGAATTTAGGAGGCAATAACTTTCTAAATTAAATAGGAGGCATTCTAAAAGATTTACCTGTCGTCATCTGAATCATCAAGTTCATTGTCTGAATCTGCAGATGATATGGTCACATCAGGCTTTAGTTGAGCAGATTGAAGCAAAGGAGGCATGACTACACTCATGTATGGAAGGAAATCCTGTCCCAAGCACTTGCAAAGTCTGGCCCAAGCCTACAATGTAACAAAAAATGTAGTGTGACCATGTTAAGATGAAGCTCCCAGATTTAAAACCAAGTGACGTACCCATACCTGTAGCATGTAACTAGTAGTAGGGTCATCTGTCTCCATTTGTGATCCTTGCAATGACATAAGCACTTCCATAACCTTAATGACAACAAAGTTTTAAGAATAAGCTCTATGGTATAATGCTTTGAAAATTGGACCAATCTGGATAAAAAACGAATGAAGCCACATATCTATAAGGGCACTAACAGATGTGTCTAACCATATAAAACTAGAAAGTTCTATCTCAAGTTAAAACTGGAGAACATGGCAGGAAGCTTATCATGGCCATACGTTCATATTCCCATACTGACCTGCTTTGCGTCATCTCTGAATTTATCTTTGCCTACAGCCATCCCTACCAGACTTATGCACTCCATGGCTTTGGCTCGAAGCATGCGATTAGATTTATCAGTTGCATTTACAAGGATAGTTTTCAAATACGGCATTACAGCATCATAGTACTTCTGGAAGTGCTCCTATTAAAACATCATGTATTAGCCATTATCATCCAAACTGAACTCAAGATATAATAGACAGAGTAACTGCAACAAGGTACTCATAAAAAAACGCAACAAGGTAACACCTGGGATGAATCAGCTACGGAAGCCAAGGCAGTTAATGCTCCCTCTTGCACCATTTGATTGCCATTCTGCGTATCAGAAGATATTAAAAAAGAAAAAGAAACCATGAATCTCTTGCACTTTTCAGTAGTGAGTTTATAATATGATGTTCTCTCGTTTGTCATACCTGCAGAAGTACAAGAAGTTTGCTAACTATTCCATCTAGATAAGGTGTCAGAATTTCTGGCGTGCAGTTCTCACTGAAGTTGAGGACAGCTGATGCAGCATGTGCCTGTGAATATCCCAAATTGAAAAGGAAAAATTAGTGCTGGTGTTGCATGCATCTGAGCCAAACACTTAACATAGTACCTTAAACACCCTTGTCACTTCAGAATAAATATCTAAATAATTGGAAGTGCCGTGTACCACTAAAAAGCCAAGACCAAAAACTACATTATTTCAGAAGTTTATTTAAAAGCATCATCTAACATTCTAGATATCTCTATACACGTCACAAAGTTGAGTGATTGATCCACATTTCCCATAGTTGGATCTAGGAAGATATATTTTTGGAGAAAATAAATGATCATCCTCAATAATTAATCAGGAAGGTTAACATATATATAACAAAGTAATCTATCATCCTTAATTTGATCAAACCAAAAAAATGACCACGCCAATGATCAACCAAATATACTGAAGTAATATCTCTTTTTTTTTATAACCGAGAAATCCCCGACACATTTCCACTTAAACACCATGCTTTTGTCTGTGAAAGGGTGCGAACTCATGACATGTGCTTAACCCACACATCACGTGATGTGCTCTTACCACTAGACCAAAGTCCGGGGCTAAAGTAATATCTCTTTCTTAAGTAGATGTAGCAACACAATTGAAAACCAAACAGGGATGAAATCAAACCATTTGAAGACCTCCCAACCACATGTGAAACATAAAACAATTCCCATATGTGTCAAACATTATGTTCTGCTACTGCTTAAAACACATTTTCATAAAAGCTACAGCATCTAATATGGGGTCACCATGCCACCAACACAAACCTGTACTCGTGGATTTTGGAAATCATCCATAGCTGCCGCTAGTGCTGGCAATACACGGTTATGATACTGAACTTGCAAATCTGGACCCAAGTCGGTTGACAACTGGCCAATTGCATTAATAGCTGCCCACCTCACTCGAGGATGGGGATCCTGGAAAGAATTGAGAACCATGTTGACCACTTGCTCCAAATTCTTAATCATCACCTATTACAGGAAAGGTATAGTGTCAAAGATAACAAGTTAAAAACCATAAAAGAGTAAGCAGAAGTGTTCAGTCCAACAAACAAACAATGATTGAGTATGCAATCCAGCAATTGTAAATAAACACTTGGACGAGCACCACAGCAGGAAACAGTCCAACAAACCAACAGTAGTTAGATTACAAAAAATACTCCACCCGTCCCAAAAAGAATGGCAGGCTTTGGAGTACAAGGTCAACATTGCTTAATTTCAGGCATAACTTATTTGACTTCTCTTTTTCTCTTAAAAAAGAAGGTTAGATATCTGGAAACTACATTTTAAATACTCCAGAGCATATACCAATCAAAAAACTTTCTTCAAAGCACAGTTTTTCATGGTGGAAAACAGTTTAAAATGTTTTAAAAAGTAAAAGTCAAAGATAAACCATTTAGACAAGCAAAATAAAATGCAATTCTTTACAGGATTAGCTTTAGGCACTAATGAGAAGAATACCAACAATGGCCAAAGAGTGAAAGCAATAAATGACATGAAGCAGATCATTCAGTAATGATAATAGGGTATGTAGGACAACAAAAATATAGATGCATGCATACACTTAGAGTGCATCAAAAAGCACCAAAACTCTGCCACAAATTCAGTGAAAGTGTTTTTAAGGTCATTAAGACAAGGTCCTAATAAATATCAATCAACTAGTCGGCCATATGAATATATCTCTGTCTTTCCTCAACCCTCATATATTGAGGATAAATATTTCTCAGAATGTAGAGTACATACATATTCAGGCCCATTTCATTAAGACTGACTCTTTTTAAGATAAATAAACAATGGAAACAAATATCTTATCAGTACCTTAGAACAACCTTCAGCAATCTGAGCAAGGGCAATGAGAGCAGCATGGTGCTTCTGCCACTCAGGTGCTGCCAAGTAAGAAGGTAACTGTTCTGAAGCAACAGGAACAATAGTGTTACCGCCCAATGCAATAGCTAACCTATCCAAACACTCCTGCCCCACACTATAGTTACTCGTTTCCCCTGCATCCTCATGCTCAGCTTCAGCACTATGCCAAACAGCTTCATCCTCAACATCTAATAACATCTTCATCAAAATAGCAAACAACCTACTAATAAACTGCGGCAATTTCCTCATCATTCCTGGAGCACGTTCCCTCGCCTCCGCCAAGGTAATCACAAATTCAATTGCCAAATGCCTTGTTCCCTCCTCTAGGCTCTCCGCCTCAGCTACCTGCAACATAGCCCCTACAACATCCACGAGCTGTCTCCTCAAGAACCTAGGCTCAGTCCCTGCTAACTCAATCAACAACTCCAATGCTTCTTGTGCTGTAGCCTCTTGACCACTGTTCAAGGCCTCGGTCAACGTTTTCATCATAGCAGGCAATAGATCCTGAAACCTATCCCTCTCGCTTGAGCTGGATAAACATTGTATGAAATTGATGACAGCACTTAATGCCGCAATCCTCACATCCGGATTCGGAGAATTATTCAGTGTCTGCAGGAACACCGAATGCAAATCCTTTATATATGGAACCAAAATCTCACCGATATATTGTGCTAATTGAGCAAATATCAGAAACGCAGACTCCTGTAACTTTGGTGAATCGCTGGTAACACACTGAAACATGAATGGCAGCATTTCAGGCCATTGATTTTCCGGCAGAATGGACGAAGCGAGCTCGGAAACGGTGTCGCATAATTTCTTGATAATCGATTTGGATTCTTCGCGCTGGATACATGTGAGGAGGACAGACTTAATACCGGACCGAGTAGACTCGGTGAGTTTGGGCCAGATAAAGGAGTCGTCACGAGTTAGCAGTTTACGAAGGAGGATAGCGGACATAGCACGGGGCTCGATGTGTGGGGAGGAAGTGAGAAGATTGGCGAGTTTGAGAGCGAGTGAGTTGGGATCGTTCTGCTTGATGAGGTTGAAGATTGACTCAGCTTGGGATCGTTGCTCGTTGGAGGTTGACATGAGGTGGGAGATTAGGGTTTCAAATGGTGCCGGGTCGGCTCCCAGTATGGCCGCCAGCTGGGCTTGTTGGTACTGAGTTGACTCGGAATCCATGACTAATTCGCAGGCTGTAGGAAGAGAGAATTAGGGTTTATCTGACGGAAATGATGGAATAGAGAGTGAGAGGGAGGGAGAGAGAGAGAGAGAGAGCTACGACCTATGGGCTATGGCTATGGCAGTGGTTATGGAGGAGTGGTGGCGCTCTTCTCTGTGAAATTCGGGGTTTCTCTCACACACACTCGCACGCTGAGATGTGTGTGTCGCAATGGATATATAGCGGCGAAGAGCACGTAGTTGCAGAGGGAGAATTTGGAGGGTTTTTGCCTTTGAATTCTTTTACTTTTTTTTTCTTTATTCTTTAATATGAATTTTTGAGTTATATTGTATTAAGGATAAAGTTTGAAATCAAATGGTAAGGTTAAATTTTGTATAAATATTTTACAATTAAAGTTATATATTTTTAAGATTGAACTCGCTTGCTCAAAATTCTGAGTCTAGATAGTGCGCATAACGAATGCACTGTATCAAGTATAAAGTTTGACATCTAATACCTACCAACTCTAAAGTTGTCATAACTTTTTATTTAATTGAACTAAATACTTAATTTATATTCAAAAGGTATCTACTAATGCTAATGTGATATAGTATTTCAAATTGTGTCTGAATTGAGCTAAGAGTGTGAAAATTCAAAAAAAAAAATTCTCCTCCTTCACTCTCAACTTGCAATCATTGCACTAACCATCCTCCCATCTTACCTTTTCTCCTCCTCTCTCTCCAGCACCACCATCTACTTATTCTACTTTAGCAGCCACCATCTAGCATTTTATCTTCGCAATAGAATAATAAAGTTCCTCCATTAAAATTTACCCGAGCTCTAAGTGGTCGTTGAAAAGCACAGAGGCATTGCGATTAACGGACTTAAACATAATATACTTCTTTTAGAAAAACATCGCTATACCAACTTCTGACAAACATAGGTGATGACAGCGTTGTGGCAATCAGTGTTTGCTAAGCATCATTTTTCATTTTCGTCCATTTTGATCAAAATATACATTGTATCCTCTTTCTTTAGCAATGAAACATATTAGTTCCGGTTTTGCTTTGCAAATATGTCGAATAAAAATCTAGATATGTCAAAGAATTAATGCTTTTGTCAACCCCAAATATGATTGAGGTAATAGGGAAAGTGTTTAGTGCTATTTTATCTGTTATTTTTCGTCGTTCTTTAGTCATGTTAAACTACTTTTTTTATTAAAAAAAAAATTGGGTCTAACTAAGATTGATTTATAAGTGGGAGAAAATAAGATGAGAGAAGGTAAAATTTTAATGGAAGAAGATCGGAATGGGAGTATTGGGAGAATATCATACCCATAAATTAGTACTATATTAAAAGTACGAAGGCGTCTTTAACGAAATATCGTTAATTTTTTTATCCTAGTTAAGTGTATTATATGTTGGATAAAATTATAAATACAAAGTATTGTTTTTATGGAGAAATCAAAAAAAAAAATTACCCTTGTTAAGTGTATTATATGTTGGATAAAATTATAAATAAAAAGTATTGCTTTTATGGAGAAATCAAAATTGTTGTAAGATATAAACAAGGAAAAGTAAGAAGAGAATAAGTAGGTTTCATCAAACTCATAAAAGCTGGTTCATATCCAAACAATATCATCGTAGGAGAATGTAAAAGAAGTTAATACTTTTTACTTTTCGATTAACTAATTAATATTATTTGAGATCTACTATGAAATTTCACTTTGACTTTTTGTTATTTGTGATCCAATCTAATTAGATATTCTAATCTCCGACCTGGGGAAGGCACTAAAACAAAGTCTTAATTGAATTGTAGTTCACAAGAAATTAATATAAGCTATATGAATGCCCATAACGAAGTTTTTTTCCAAACAAATTCTTCGTTAATTGACCATAATAAAGATGAACTACAAGAACAACAACATATGAGTGTGTTGTAATCTTACACATGCTGGAAAAAAAATTAGGTCAAAAGAAATTAAAGTCATGATGTGGTGTTCTTGACAAGATTCTAAAAATTCCCTTAAATCAAAAGGTAGTAGAGAACAAAAATGAAGCTAAGTAATTTAAAGGAAAAGTGTAGTGAACCCATATTGTATTGCTATTGAAATGGATAATGGGAGTCACATATACAATTATAAGAGTTCATCTTCAAACAATTACAAATACTTCAAACAAGTAACCAAATCTTCCGAGGGAAGAAGAAAAAAAGGAGAAGGGAGGAAGGTTCTAGATCTATCCTCTAAGAAACTAAAGAAAGTAAAATAAACCAAGTTCATAGCATAAGCCTCGTCAAATATTTCCTATTGTATATATAGGTATACTCCATCTAACCCAGGTCCCAAATGTAATTCATTAAGTTTCCAAAGGTGCCCTCAACCTTGGTCTTTTGATCATTTTCATTCATAACAATTCTTCCGCCCTAAAAAAAACCTTGTGAATGTGAGTATCTCAATTGTATCAAGCTACAAAACAGTACAATTGAATTTGTCAAGAATTATTGCAACAAGAGAGATGTCATCATTGTCTTTATGGTCAATCCAACAGAGGAAATATATAAATATCCATATGACGATGATAACATTTAACAAGGAATCCAAAACGACATTAGCATTGTGAACTCTCTCGTCACTTGATATTTGCTTAACAATAAATATGCCAATGGTAAAATGATTTGTCTCCTCAATGCTGCTGAAGTTTTGAAGAACCTTACCTGGTGCATCCGATGGAAATTTAGTCAAGAAATGACACTTGAATAGATTTACATGCTAAAATTTCTTGAGCACATCAAACCAAAAGCTAAACTTGAGGGCCTCTCTTAGTTTGATATCAAACTGGTGCAGAGAGATATCAGATGATATTAGAACCTCAGATTCGGATGGCACAATTTAGGAACAACAACGTAATTGTTACATCATGTGCGTCCCAAGGTGACGTATAATAAATGTGAGACTTGTTAATCATGATTTAAATGAGTCTAAATTCATAATATGACTATATTGATGTTTGAATATAAAATATAAAGTTTAGAAAAAATCGGATTTAAGTTGCGGAAAAACCGACTAAGGATTTACCTTGTAATAAAGTTTTTTGAGCAATATATTTTGTATATTATATGAGATTTTCTTGGGACATATTATATACTAAATTAAAAGTCTTGGAATACAGTTTCTAATACTTTTAGCCGTTTTTTTATACAACTTGTGGATAAAAAGACATAAGCGTATGAAGAAGTGTCAATGCTAGGGTGCCAAACTAGCACCTCTTTGATTTTTCAAAAGTGGATATATATGCCTTATGTCGTCTTTCTTCATTTTTTCAAATACCACGACCAAATAAGATCTATAATACCCTTAAGCTTTCTACAAGAGTTTCAAAAAGGATTAACACCTCAGGTACGAAATCAAGAAGCGATGTCATTAGAACGATCCCTACGACGTAAGTATCACTATACCACCTCTCTTTGTCTTTGTAGTTTGAGTTTTGGAAGCTACTTCATAGTTAAGAAAATACCTACTTGATGTATTTAAGTTTTAAATCTCAAGGAAGGTTGATAAATTCGTTTCCTAATAGTTAGGACTCACGGGACGGTGA